AATATTATAAAATGGATGAAAATCACGAAATATGTGAAATTATTCCATCTCAAAAAGAAAAAAATAAAATAAATGTTCGAGGTTACTTAATGACACAAGAAAAAAAACTAAAAGATACTTATTATTGGTGTTGTGAAAAAAAAAGCTTGAAAATTGTAAGGGTCGTGCGATAACAAATTTTTATAACGGGTCTCATTATCTTAAAAAATTTGTTGAACATAATCACTCGCCTCAGCCTAGTAATGCTAAAGTTGCAGAAATTATTGGACAAATCAAACAAAAAGCTCGTGTAACACGAGATAAACCTTCCCAAATTATTCAAGATATTACTTCTAGTATGTTGCAAGATTATCAACCTTACATGCCATCTTCTAATGCCCTTCGTGCAATAATTGGCCGTATTAAAAGAGCAGAAATGCCTGCTCAACCACAAACCATCGAAGAAATTATTGTTCCAGATTCACTTCGTTTAACTTTAAATGGTGATACATTTTTAATTAAGGATAGTGAAATTGGTAATGATCGGATTTTACTATTTGCTACACAAGCAAATATTCGACGCTTATCTCAGGCTTCATTTTGGCTAATGGATGGTACCTTCAAGACTGTTCCAACGGTATTTCGTCAATTATATACCATTCATGCACCTGTTGGTGGTGAAAATTCAAGAATTTTTCCACTTGTTTATTCATTATTAACAAGTAAATCAGAGGAAATCTATAGTTGCTTGTTTGAAGAATTAATTGACTTTGCAGTAGAAAACGATATTACCTTACAACCTTCAATTATTCTAACTGATTTTGAGTTAGCATCGATCAATGCATCGCGTCATGTATTTCCTAATGTTGAAAATAAGGGATGTTTTTTTCATTTATGTCAGTCAGGATGGCGAAAAATTCAATCATGCGGACTTGCTACTAGATATGGTGATGATGAGCAATTTAGTTTAATATTACGACATTTATTTGCACTAGCATTTTTATCACCACAGGAAATTCCAGAGGCATTTGATATATTAAAGCTTGAAATGCCTCCAGAAGCAAATGATGTTGTCCAATGGTTCGAAGATAATTATGTTCATGGAAGGATACGTCGACACCTTCGAAATGAAAATGTTATTCGTTCAGCTCCTTTATTTCCACCACAATTGTGGTCAGTATATAATTTAAATGAGATGGGAATTCCACGAACACAGAATAATGTTGAAGCTTGGCATCGGCGTTTGGAAATTTTGGTTGGTCAAAGTCATTTAGGTGTTTATAAGATAATTGGAGAGTTACAGAAGGAACAGCAAAGGGTAGACTTTCAAGTTGAACGTATCATTCGTGGTGAACCATGTCCTGCAAAAAAAAAAGCCTTAATTGAAAAAGAAAAAAGAATAGCAACGGTACTTAATGATAAAGAAAACCGTTCTATTATGGAATTTCTTCGCGGGATTGCACATAATCTTATGTTATAGATGTTATAGTTGCGTTTAATATGACAAATTTGTAATAAATGGTACTTTCTATCGTGTTTTAATGATAACACGATTGATTCATGAAAATTACTTTGAATTAGTTATCACGGGTCAGTCGCAGGAAATTACTAATTTTTCATTTATGCATAAGCAAAGCTCCCTCCGATTGAACATTCTTTTTCATTAATTGTATAAGTAAATATTAAATCATGAATTG